GGGGTTTTACGCTCAGGAATGTCACCAGATTTTTGCGTTTAAGAGGGAAGATTTAATCTTTACATGTTTTTTATGCTCCTCGCCACAAGTCCTGACCCAGAGAACTCTGAAAAACTCGTGAAGGAGGTTTTAGGCCCCAAAATACATTTCTGGTGATGCTAATGCTCGTGTGGGATTGGACTTTAAAAAAGAAAAACTGGATCTGCAGTCTGCATCTGTGTTTTCTCCGGCCGGTCCCGGTCTGATCCGGACACCGGACCGGTACCGGCCTGGTCCCGCCTGACGTTCTCCTCTGGGTGTCCCTGCAGACGCGCCCTGGTGCGGCCACTGCAAACAGCTGGCCCCCATCTGGGACAAGCTGGGCGAGAAGTACAAGGACAGCGCCGACACCATCGTGGCCAAGATGGACTCCACCGCCAACGAGATCGAGTCGGTGAAGGTCCACAGCTTCCCCACCCTCAAGTTCTTCCCCGCCAGCGACGACCGCAAGGTGAGTCCACACACACACACACACACACACACACACACACCCCCGCCCAATCGGGTCCTGCTTAGGGATGTCCCCATCCAGCTTTTTTCCCATCCGATCCCGGCCTATCAGAGCATGTGTTAAGGTTTAAAGTTATTTATCTACTTACTTAGTTGTCAGACTCGTGTTGAACAGGGATTTATTCTGATAACAACTTAATGGTTAGGACACAGACCTGTGGGTTACAGATGCTAATGCTAATGCTCTGATAACAACTTAATGGTTAGGACACAGAACTGTGGGTTACAGATGCTAATGCTAATGCTCTGATAACAACTTAATGGTTAGGACACAGACCTGTGGGTTACAGATGCTAATGCTAATGCTAATGCTCGTGTGTGATCGGATTTAATAAAAAAAAATAAAAAAAACTGATTTTTACATCCTTTGGCTTTTTGATTCCATTCCCTCCTTGGACTCCTCGGCCTCTGTAAGAGTTGTGTTTTCCCCTGGAAAAGATGTGTCCCTGAAGGCAGCGCAGGTTGCTGTACAGTCTCAGAGGAGGCTCTTCCTGTTCCACCTCCCAAATCAGAGATCTGGGTCCTGAATGTTCAGAGCTAAAGTCCACGTCTTCCTCCCTGCAGGTGATCGACTACAACGGGGAGAGAACGCTGGAGGGCTTCACCAAGTTCCTGGAAAGCGGCGGCAAAGAGGGCGGAGCCCCGGCAGGAGATGATGAGGAGGAGGATGACGAAGAGCTGGATGTGAGTTGGTCTTAACTCTCTGGTTGCTGCCTCTGAACATGAGCAGGTGTCAAACTCTCTCAGTATGTATCGATGGGCAGAGGAAGACGGTTTAATGGCTTAGTTTGGGTTCATTTTAGGGATGTCCCAATCCAGCTTTTTTTTTTTTTTTTACTTCTGATCCCGGCCTATCAGAGCATGTGTTAAAATCTAAAGTTATTTATCTACTTATTTAGTTGTCAGACTCATGTTGAACAGGGATTTACTCTAACTTAATGGTTAGGACACAGACCTGTGGGTTACAGATGCTAATGCTAATGTGGGATAGGACTTTTAAAAAAAGACTGGATCTGCATTTTCTCCTGCCGGCCGATCCGATCCAGATATCGGGTCGGGACAAGCCTAGTTAATTTGCCACCTAAACCTTTAAAGTGTCTAACCCCCCTAAGAACAAACTTAGGGTTGAGACTTTTTACCATTTTAAAGGATTAACAGGTGGTTTAAGACTAGTTAAAGTAAAGGTTACATGTTTTTTTTCTTAATGCTCAGACTAAAAAATTCTGCATCCGGCTGGATGTGGAGCCAGTTTTAGTTTCAGCTGATTCTCAGTTTGAAATAAGTTCATATTCTGGATAACAAACCAGAAACCCCAAGTGTCCTACTGGTTCCATCTGGTTTGTGAATGGTGGATAAAAAGCTCTTTCAGTTGTCAGCTTTAATAGAAAAGCTCTATATAAAGACACGTACATTTACAACTTTCAAAATGGCCGACACAAGCCCCCTGTGTTCATGCAGAACAACCTGCTTCCATCCATTTTTTTTTTTTAATTAAAGAATAAAAAGAGGAGCAAAAAGGAGAGGGGGTTTGTTGATCCTTTTGAGGACATTTTAAGTATTGAGGGTTAGTTTGGGGGTTTTTTGGTGGTCTGGGACGTGGTTTCTGGTCCTGACCGGCTCTGGTCCCTCAGGACCTGCAGGAGGTGGACGAGGACTCGGACGGTGAGGACGGCGATGGCCACGACGAGTTGTAGGCGTGGCCAGAGGAGAGAAACGGGCGAGAGGAGACCAGTCCCACCCCGACCCCCCCGACCAGTCACCATCACCATCTTCACCCCCCCCGGACCCCCCCCTCCCTGTCCTGAACACGAACGGTTCCCCTGAAGCCGCCCGCAGGCCGATTGGCCGGACCGGGCCCCGCCCCCCCGGGGGGGGGGGGCGCGGCGGGACACCGGGGGGGGGGGGACCTCAATAATGCCTTGTTGACGAAGCTCCACATCAGCCGTTTGCCTTCGATATTTTCAACCAAAAGTTAAAGAAATGGCGTCAAGATCCAGATTTACAGCATTTTGATGATTATGTTTATTTGTTTGTGTCCCCCCCCCCTAACAGAAAAAGCTTAGTTTTTGTTCAGTGTTCAGCTAAATGGCGGCGGTTTGTGGGTAAGGGGGGGGCTGCCAGCGTCCTCCCCCCAGACTCCAGAGGACCAGAGCTGTGTGTGTGGGGCGTTCAAGGACTGATCTCTCAGGGGAAAAGGGGCCATCCTACCTGTTCTGTCTTTTTATTATTATTTCTAACTCAACCCCCCC